TGCCTGCCAGGGCCTGACATGGTACATCCTCTCACTAAAGAGTCTTTGTGGCTGCAGCGGATGGAAGATTCTGGGTCTGATCCCGGGCTGAGGGCCCATCTGTAACTACTTGGATGCTCATGGCTGTGGCTTGGTAACCTATGTATTTCACCAACCCTCTGAGGTCATGTTTGGCCCTAGGTCTTGTTTTGGCCAAATACGTGTGAGAGGTGGACAGCTAAGGGGCCAGGGGTGGGAGCGAGGAAGAAAGGCCAGAGGGGAGAAGCAGACGTACTGCTTTGGGTGATCTGATGTTCTAGTTTCTTTCTGTTGCTCTGATAAAACACCCTGACCACAAGCAATTCCGAGGAGGAAGGGTTCATCTGGCTTATAATTCCGGGTCACAGTCTATCATTTTGTGGAAGCCAAGGCAGGAACTGAAGCAGCTGACCACATCGTATCACAGTCAAGAGCAGAGAGGAGAATGTGCCCATGCTATCTGCTTTCCATGTTAACTTTCTACTGGCCATGTGGCTAGAGCCGGAATAGTACCTCTCACAATGAGCTGTGTCTTCCTACATCAACATACAGTCAAGACTCCCCTCCTATAGACATGGCCATAGGCCACCCAGATAAAAACAATACTCAATTGAGGTTCTCAGCTGAGTCCAGGTTGTGTCAGGTTGAGAGTTACAACTAACCACCACAGCGGTTAGCGCAAATGCCTCAGAGTGGGTGGCTCACACAGTAACTTCTGTTGTCATGATTCCAAAAGCCAGAAGTCCAAGTATAAGCAGGGCCCTCCCGAGGCCTCCCTCCTGTGCTTGTGATGGCCATCTTATCCCCATGCCCTCACATGGCCTCCCTCTGTGTGTCTGTGTCCAAATCACCTTTTTAAAAATAAAGACGCCTACACCTATGACTTCATTTTAATCTATTACCCCCATAAAGGCCTCATATCCAGATACATCAATTCTGAGGTCCTCAGTTTCAGCATCTGAACTTGGGAGACTGGAGTCCAGTTTGTGACACCTAGTAAGCCATTGTTTCCCAGTGGCCACAGCAGGCCCAGGACAGACACAAGGTGGAGTCTAGCAATGGCTCCCGAGGAACTAATGGAATGAATCCAGACCCAGCTACCCAGTAGGAGACCCCCAAGCCAATGAGCTTCATCAGGCAGAAAGGCCTGCTTATCACCTGTTGTCCTGGTGAGGCCACACCCAAGTGAGGGGAGCTCTGGGAATCACTTCTGCTGGCAATCTTCCCTGACTCACCTGCCCAGCTCTTCTTATGGTTCCAGAAGCCCCCAGTTCTCCCATCCCCTACCCTTTCCCTTCCTGGAAGTCTCGGAGTAGCTTCCATTTTCCCAACCAAGGGCTTGATCCCATCTAGGTAGGCAGGTGGAGAAGTATGTATCCCACCACGATGTAACCTTTCCCAGCAAGGCTTGGGTGTGTAGGCCTGACGAGGTGGTGACTTTGTGAGATGCTCTCGGGCTTAGCTGGGGTCCAGCTGGAGAGAGCAGGGGCCTGGCTTGGCATTTTCCCCTCATTTTCTCTGGATATTCGTCACCTTCCTTGGTGAGTGTCCCTTCCCGAGGACCTCTCCATCCCTGTAAGGAGAAGTGGATGTGACGCAGGCAGCGTGGGGCCTTCTGTCTAAAACATGGCTTCTCGAGAGGCCGAGCCCCTGGAGTCTTGCTGCCATCCTGATAGAAACCACTTGTGGGCAAGTGGGATGACCACTTCTGGTGCCTTTATAATCCTCGGAGGCTTCCCTTCCTCTGGGATCTCCATGTAGGCTGGGCTCTGTGGTTGTTTGCCTTGTGCTTAGGAACAGGCTATTTAAATAATAGCCATGTGTGTAGTCTTCTATCTGAGCAGCTCCCATCAGATAGGGTCTGGGGACCAGGTCTGTCTGCACGGCCGTTTTCCTCAGGGTCGTGCAGCTCAGCCTTTCCTCCCAGCCAGAACCACCACAGACAATAGGGTTCTGAGGTGGAGAAAGAACAAGAGGGGAATCCTCTGTATTCACCGAGAAGCAGGAGAGGCTGTAGAGTCATCAGTCCACATTCCCCAGTACCCAGACGGCCAGTGAGACTCAGGGTCTGGGGTGTGGAGGCTGCAGGTTGGGCTGGCGACAAAGCCCCCCAGACAGAGCACATGCAGGCAGTTGGCCCAGCATAATGTAGCCGCCGCTGGGCTTCTGAACAAAGGGCTACATCACTTCCAAGAGATCACATTCATGTCCCTTAGTCTGGACAGTACCTGCGAGCATCTCTGTTCCTCCACTGCCCTGTGTAGTTCAGCCAGCTTGATCTCCAAAATCCACATCAGGGATTACGCCCAACCTCCCACATGTGACCTTCCACAGGACAGCTCTGTCCAGGTTGTCATCTCCTCATTGCGCTTCTGAGCTTCATTTCTGTGCCTCATCCCTTCTACTTTCTTGTGTGTGCATGCACACGTATGCAGGTGTGCATGCGTGTATGCATGTCCAGGGCAGGGGCCTCTGTATAGTTCCCAAGGTGCCACCCACCTTGCTTTTTGAGACTGAGACCTAGACTTTGCCAGTTAGTCTAGGCTGGCTGGCCAGTGAGCCCCAGGGCTGGACCTGTCTCTGTGATAGGCACATACTACCATGCCTGCCTTTTTTAGTTGGGTCCTGGGGGGCGGGGTCAGACTCAGGTTCTCATGCTTGCAAAGCAGGCACTTGGCCGACTAAGCCATTCCCACCCCTTGACTCTACTTTCTACCAGTTAAGTACCTTCTTAGACTTTGATAAGACTTACCTCGGCTCATCTGTCACTCAAAAACCTCAAAACACTCCCTATACAACCCAAACCCAAGAGGCTGGTGAGAGCTGCCCCCAGCTCCTGTAGCCCACTAGGCATTCTGGCCTCACCACCCCATGACTCTCTGAGAACACATCCTTCCTTCAGTCTGTGACCTTGCCTCTCTGTCTCCAGCCTTTTATCCGGCTCTGTTCATGGCCATTACTCCATTGTAACACCAACTGCTCTGGGAATCATACACATGGAGATTTTACCAGTTAGAGCTGTCTCTCCACACAGGACACATGGCCTTGTGTGTGTGTGTGTGTGTGTGTGTGTGTGTGTGTGTGTGTGTGTGTGTGTGTGTATGTGTGTGTGTTGCACATGGACTTACATGTACATGTGAAGGCTAAAAGTCAACAACTGGTGTCTTCCACCTTATTTATTGAAGCAGGGTCCCTCACTGAACCTGGAGTTTACCGATTCAGTAGACTAGCCAGCAAACCCCCAAGATCCTCATGTCTCTACCTCTCCACCTCACCTGGTTTTTTTTGTTTTTGTTTTTGGTTTTGGTTTTGGTTTTTTGAGACAGGGTTTCTCTGTGTAGCTTTGGTGACTGTCCTGGATCTCACTCTGTAGGCCAGGCTGACCTGGAACTCACAGAGATCTGCCTGCCTCTGCCTCCCGAGTGCTGGAATTAAAGGTGTATGCCACCACTACCCGGCTCACCCGGCTTCTTATATGGGTGCTAGGATCTAAACTCAGGTCCTAAGCTTACACAACAAGCACCTTATCAACTAAGCAGTCTCCCTGTCCCCACCTTCTGTCTCCTCTGTGGCCCTCACAGCCACCCACATCAGACTCCTTTGGACTATGAACTTAACACCAGCAGATCTCCAAAGCTTCCAGGCTTTCTGAGTTTGATTGGGACTGCAGAGGCAGCCAGCTATGAGAATTGAGTAGCTACCAGGTTCCAACATGAAGGTGATTGTTGGACCACCCACTTCCTATCACCTTCTGCCCTTATATTTACTGTAGTCATTTAAAGCTCATGTCAGCTTTCCTTTGTGTTGAAGAAGTGGACATGCATCCTGGGCATTGAGTGAAAGAGTCTATGGCCTCTCTGTGTCCTTTGAGTCACATGGCCATTATGGTGGTAGATTTTTCTTTTTTCTTTCTTTCTTTTTTTTATTTGAGGTAGGGTCTCACTCTGTAGCACTAGCTGCTCTGGAATTCACTATATAGACCCGACTGGCCTCAAACTTATGGAGATATACCTGACTCTGCTCTGGGATTAAATGCATGTACCAACATGCCCAATTTTAGGGATAGATGTCTGAGTGCTGCCCTGTACTCCCTCATAGCCACAGGTTACATTATCTGTTCTCAACCTTTGGGGGGTGGGGGCAAATGATCCTTTCACAAGGGTTGCCCAAGACCATCAGAAAACACAGGTATTTACTTTATGATTCATAACAGTAGCAAAATTACAGTTATGAAGTAGCTACAAAGATAATTTTACAGTTGGGGGTCACCACAACGTGAGGAACTGTATTAAAGGGTCGGAGCATTAGGAAGGTTGAGAACCACTGGGCTGCATGCTATATGTGCTTTTTGAGAGAACCTAGTCACACCTGCTCAATCTTCTGGAGTTACCGATAGGTGTTTCACATAATGGAATTCCTGACCCACCTTGACCTCTGATATGGCCTTCCTAAGGTTACGAAGTCAGGACTATTTCAAGACCCTGCCTGCCCTGGTACCCTTGACCCTCCGAGGCATGTGGAAGAGCAGATCTGAGGAACCGCACAGCCAGAATCTATGTCTCCAGGGTGTGCTTTCAGGGACATCTCTGTAGCTCTCCTGTATACTGATTTCAGGTCTAAGAGTGAGGGGCTGAAACGTTCTGAAGCTCAAGCCTTCCCCAGAGCACAGTGATAATATCACCTTGCACAGACTACCACAGGAAGGAGAGGATTGCTTCTCCTATGGCTTTGGTCAAATGCAGGCATGATGGCTACATGAAGTGTGCTCACATGGCCTACAGGATGAAGTCCATGGTGACCCTCCAAGTGACCCTTCTTGGAGGAACGTCCTAGAGAATCTTTTCCTTCCTCCTACATCTTCACCTAATTGTTTAAATAATCCATCCATCCATCCATCCATCCATCCATCCATCCATCCATCCAGTTATGGCCCTGGTCTTGTGTATGTTGTAACTGTGACAAACAAAAAGGAAATCAATGTCTCTATTTGGATATCTTCTTTTGAAATATTTTTATTTCACTTTTTTCTAACAGTAATATAGAAACAAATAATCATAAAAATAAAATTGTAAATTGTCCATTGATTATGTAATAGCACTTGGTATTGCTACAGGGGTAGATCTTGGATGAGGCCAGGTCATGGCCAGGCCTGCCCAGGCTCTCTAGGCTCTGTGATTGCTACTGAGCCCACAGAGGCATTGGACATGACCTTGTGGCAGCACAGTGGATATTTCGTGTCTCATGGGGGGGGGGCAGGGGAGAGACTCTGGGGGACATGGAGATGGTTAACGATGAAACAGCACACAGGACTGTGTACATACGGTCAGCCAGGAAAGTGGCTGTGGAAGGCTGCTAATGTCACCACTGACCTACAGACATCTCTGCATGGATCCTACAAGCAGAATGAGCAATTCATGGTTTGTGCTCGCCATGAGAGACAGGGAGCTAACAGATACTAGCTGCACATAAGAACACAAAATGGCTCCCCTCTACTTTTGTGACCCCCCCCCACCTTCCCTCTTCATCCCCGAATAGGATGAACTTGGGATGAACTTGAGATGAACAACTTAAGCTGAGGCATCTAACCTATTTAGATCCATGCCTGGGGCGCAGTGTCCTCAGAGAACAGAAGTAGGAAGAAGCTGGTGGGGTTAGCTGAGCACAAACTGCTCCGTCACATACTTGGTTACTGTCCACATCCAATTCGATCCCTCCGCTTTGCTTTAAGCAAAGGGTGTTAGGTTCTGTAATGGCTGGTGGTGTCTTTTCCCTTGTTATGTTTCTGAGACATGGTCTCATGGGGCCTAGGCTGGCCTGGAGAACTTACTGTGTATCACAGGCTAGTCTTGAACTTCTGATCCTCCTCCTCCAGCTCCTGAGTGTTGGGATTAAAGACATGCACTCCCATGACTGGCTAATGATTAATTCCTTGCAACCAGTTTGGCGTTGTTTTTAGGACATGGGATGGGCCTTCTTTCCTGTGTTTTCTGTGACGTGGTGTGAGAGTGTCAGCCAGCGGGGTGTCTGGAGGCTGGAGGTGATGAGAGGTGATGAGGCCTCTTGGGACTTGGCAGTGTTTTGTGTAGTCTCTAAGGAAGGGACTGGGGTCAAGGCCTCTGGACTTCAGGGCTTTTAAGAAATATTGGCTACCTTGTTCTACCTTTTCAAAAAGAAACACTAACTGCCTGGCTCTTTGAAATCACTAGGAAGAGACCCTTTGGTCATACACGACCATTCAGTTATATGCTCCCATTCCAGCCTCTCCCTGGGTGTGTTGTGGCATGTGTGGACATAACCCATGGGGATTACCAGGAGGAAGAAACATTATATACAGAGAACAGTCAGTATAGACTACGGGACTATGACAGATGGTAAGTGCCAAAGGTCCACCATCTGGGCATCATGCTCCTCCCTCCCAATGCTTTGAATTGCAAAGTGGGGAGAATGGGTGGAGCCTGAAAGGGAAGGAGAAAGAAGTTGGCAACTTATGGGTTTGGCAGAACATCAGGCCATCTTTTGGAGTTCAAGTTCATTGACAGGAGATCCCTCTAGACCTGACTCATAATAATTTCTCACCTTAATATTCTATAGCCACTAAACAGCCAGGTGACTTGAGGGAAGCCATTCTGTTTCCTGGCTTCATTTAGCCCTCTCTGCAAATGAGCAGGCCTCACTAGACACACCCAATGTCTGAGAAACTTGTGTTAACAGGATTACACGTGGCCTAATATGCTGTACCAGGTCTTTCCTGAACCGATCAGCTTAACATTCTGCTGATCTCAAGCCTGCTGCTAAGGGAAAAACCTCTCAAAACTGAACCCCAAATTCTTCTTGGCTTAGTCAACTGGTTCTCCACATGGACAAGAATCAGACGGGTATTAATGAGTTAGCAACGCATTAGGTAACAAACAGTCGTGGTCAATTAAAAGTCATTGTTTAGGTCAGGCACGGTCTTGAGAGAGGCTCAGTATGGGCTTCTGGACTCCCTGTGGTCTTTGGTGCTGAGGATAAGGTGATGTGGTGACACCATCAGGTCCCACCAGGAAGGCCTCTGTCCTGCCTTCTGCAGTAGGATTCACTTGGGGGGAAATCTGTTTCCTATCTGCCTGGTTTAGTCACCAGTGGCCTGTTGGTGCTCTCCTGGGGTTGTGAGTGGCAGCAAAATAACTGAAGTGGTTGTAACTGGAGCTGGGGGGCGGACAGCAGGGCATCTGGGTTCCTCTACCAAAGCTATACAAGGTACATGTGTCATGGAGCAAGCTGGAAATAGCATGGCCTTGTAGCATCAAGGCTGAAGGTCCAAGTAGCAGGGCAGAGCTCCTTCCCAGGGATGCTGGTTGCCATCAAAGAGAAGCCTGCATTCCCATGTGCCACAGTGTTATTCCTTTAGGTTTTCTTGTCCTAGCACACCTGCCCAGGTTGATGAGTCACCTCCTTTGGGGCAATTAGAGCTAGGACTAAGAGGGTGTTGACACTATGTGAGAGATGAGTGTGCCTTGCACATCTAATCTTCCCAGCTTCCCTAGAGCAGAGCTTTCTGTAAGAACAAGCTTTGTGGGTGGGAAGGTCCCCTTTGGGATCCAACATCATAGCACCAGTGAGTCTAGGACACAGGAAAGTGGGCCACTGAGGGGGACAGGCCACAGGGATCCTGCTGAGACCCTGTTTTCCATAGTGCCTGCAGACTCTTTGGGTATTGAACATGAAGACCCAAGTATGCAAAGCTGAAGCCCCTGCCACACGACCGCCCGGTCCTGGGACCTTCCATTTCCCAGCATGGCCTCAGGGAGACCCACTTTGGGTAACTTGGTCTGAGTTGCCTCTCTCTCACCCTTAGCTCTGGTCCCCCCCCCTTCCATCCCAAGGCTTCTCAGCAGAGAGAGAACCTTCTGGAGTTGATGTTCATCTTGGTGACGCCGATGAGCTTGAGTGGTGTGGAAAGGCTGAACGAGGATGCCAGAGGGGAGTCACAGAAGAGGTCTGACAGCTCATCTCGCTCCTCCAGCTCAAAGGCAGCATCATTGAGCATCCTCCTGTGCAGGCGGCAGGTCTGCTCAATCTTCAGCTTGTTGATATCTCCACGGAGGCGCATGAGCTGCCTGGCCAGCTGCTGGTCCTGGAGCCGCATCTCTGCCTGGAGAGGAAAGGCCAGATACGTGTCAGCAAGGGCTGTGGAGGCTGCAGTTCTGTGAGCTCTGCTGAGGAGACTCATTAGCAGGACTCTTAACTGATGTCATGGATCACTGACAGGTCCATCTGGCAGCAGGCTTACTTTCTAGGTCAGAGAGGCGAAAGGACACTACGGTGTCACGGGAAGGTGTCATTGCCCGCTTTGTGCCAGGCTAACAGCCATGCCTAAATCCTTCTCCATGCCAATCCTAGCTTAAATTCACCCCCAGTTCATTCCCGTTCTTTGGTGTAAAGTGGATGTTCAGGCGGAACGAGACTGCAAAGAGTAACAGGCACCGGATTTGGCGGCACAGCTCCTGGGTGGGGAGAAGGGCTGCGATGGGCGGGACAATGAGGGCTCTCCACTGGGACAGTCCCGATTAGGTCATTCGCGTGGGGGCTGGCATAACGTGCTTTGTTATTTGTTAATTCATACATTTTACAATGTATTTTTATCACATCCACCTACTATTACCATCCTCTAATTTTCCCAAGTGCCCTCCCATTCTAACTTTCAAATTCATGTGAATTTTAAAATTCTTTTTAAAAAAAAAGTGTAATTAATAACTCTGAGTCCACTTAGTGCTACCCATATGCACATGGGTGTGGGTCGTCTTCGGGGCCGTAGGGCCCTACCAGTGGTCATGTGACCACCCCCCTCACTCTGCAGCGTGCTATTTTTTCTTTCATCAGACATCTTACAATGACTTATTGATATATATCTTAATAAAGGTTCCTACGAGCCGATCATAAAAAACGAGCTGACATTTACTATGAACCAGAGTTAATCCTCATGATAGCCTGCAGAGTAAGAGTCTTACTATGCCACAAGTCACAGATGGAGAAGTTGAAGTCAGCTGTCAAAAGGCCCTTGGTGGTAGAGGGGTAGGGGCTCAGACTGTGGGTAACCAGGAGACTGACAACTCAGTCAGTTCTGCCTCTTAGGTAGAGTGGAGCCTAAGGCATAGAGCTGAACAAAGCTGGGAGACCCTCTAGAGAGGTTCTGATGTGGTTTTTGCACCTCTGTTTCCTGTTAGGAAAGGGATGTACTGAGAACTCTCAGCAGCACTTTCCAAAACCCATCTACACCTCAAACCCTGCGGCACCTCCCAGGCTCCCCGAGGGACCTGCACTGAAGGTCCATATTTCGTTTGAGGATCCTGGAACTCTAAGGCTTTAAGGTGTCCCTTAGCGTCACCATTGTGACTTGGCAGAGATGGAATGTAGCTGTGATCTCACTAGGCTTGGTGGGCAGTGGTGTCCCATTAGCAAAGCTTTGTCACTAAGACAGACCACCAGCTGTTCCTACTTGACCTGAGACCCAATTCCATCCTGCCATTTACTCTGCCTAGGCCTCCAAGTGTTTCAGTATGTTTTCAGTCCTCAGACTGAGTTCAGTGGCCTACCAGGTGCTTGGAGCCCAATGAGCCCTGAGATTCAGGAAGGACCCGCCCTATGGCTATGCAAATGAATGCAAAGTTCTCATTTTCTCCATTGGGTTTGGAATACCTACCCACTGCCAGGAAGAAAATTAGTGACTTCACTAGTGAGCACTCAGTGTTCTCTCTCTCTCCCTCTTACACACACACACACACACACACACACACACACACACACACACACACTACATAAATAAACAATAAATCTTTTTTTCTTAAATGTGAAGGGCAAAGACTCCGAAATTTGAAAAAAAAATGTAGAATCTATATAACATAAAATGTATCCTCTTAGTCATTTTGAAGCACAGTCCAGTAGTGTCAAAGACATGCATTGCTGTGCGACCATGGCCACCGCCCAACGCCAGAATTTTCCCATAGTTCTCAACTAAAAGAGGTGCTCATTTAAAGAAAAAAATCCCCATCCCCTTCCTCCAGCCCCTGACAACCCCATTCCACTGCCCTTCATCTCTATGAACTAGATGGCTCTAGAAACACCCCCCAGCCCTCCCAGTCCCACCCCGTGAGGAGGATCCTACAGTGTTTGTGCTTATGTAGCTGGCTTATTTCATGTCTCATCATGCTCTCCAGGTTCACATGGCTGAGAGGCTTTTAAAATTAAATTTCCTTAGCAATGTCTAAAGGTCACAGGTCACTGTGGGTAACATGAATGACAAGATCTGTAACCCCCACCCCTGGCTCCCTGGCTCTTCCTCACTCCAGGCCAGAGGCATCACATTTATCTATCTTACAGACAAGGAAACTAACTCAGGCCCAGCCCTCCTGGGAATGGTGGCACTCAGATCCCTCTGGGTTAAGCAGTGGCTTTCCCGGGGCCTGGAGGCGATGACGGACTTCTGGGGGAGATCCTGTTGCAGCCCCCCCCACCCACCCCCCCCCCCCCGTGCCCGCTAGCTGAACCAGTCACTAATGCCAAACTCCCACCTCCACTTCTCCAAGAAGGGACTGAGGAGGGCTCCAGACCAGACAAGAAGCTGTGCAGAGTAACCCTAGGGCAGCAACTAACAGTGGCCAAGTACTTCCCTTCCAGCCAGGAAGGGATCCACAGGAACACCTAGGCTGGTGCACTGGTCCTAAGACTCAGCCTAGGGGACTCAACTCAACATCGGTCAAATACTGTCCTCCAAAGCTCAGTGTAGAATGTCCTTATTTCCCACCCCCACATCCCTAGGGTGGCCTGCCCTCCCTCTGGGGAAGCAGGCACAGGCTGGAGTCAGAGCTGTGGTTCGTTGTTGAGAAATCCCACAATCAGGGCACAGGCCCTGGTGAAAGACGGTTGGGTGGGGGGATGCCATTGGTGAGGGGGTTAGGGGGATGGTAGGGAGAGGGTCTCCGGAGACCTCAGGGAGTGGAGGCAGCCTTTCTGAGAGAGCCATCGCTGTCCTTCAGACTCCTCTGCTGCCTGTGGACACTGGTGGTTTTGAGGCAAATGAGAAGCCTCTTAGGAGAATCTTAGGCCTGTTTCTTCAGGTAGAAGGTGAACTCCCAAGGGCAGGATTAGCTACCTAAACAGTAATTACAGGGCTCGGCAAGAGAAGAGATTTCCTGACTTCCCAGCTCACTGTGGGGTGAAGAGCAGTGGAGACAAGGAGGGAAGAATGGCTGGGAGGAGAGTCGGCTGAGAGACTCCAGAACAGAAAGCTCTCAGGTGAATGTGTCCCTGCTTACTGGGGAGAGATCACCACATCAAGTACTTCCCTGAGGAGAAAGGAGAAGCTCAGGTCTGATCTGGGTTGGGGGGCAATGAAAATGAAGGCGGTGGACATCCCCGGGATGTCCTGATTAAGTTCAGTGGGTACCATATATATGACCAGGGGTTTCACCCCAAACAGCTGGAGGCAAGGACTCCCACAAGAGACCTGTGCCCCAAGTTCACAGCGGTACACCCCAACTGCAAAACAGATGAGCACAGCCAATCCACGCTCTGGATGCTATCCAGTCTTAGCAAGGAGGAGATTCAGACACATGTCACAGCCTGGATTTGGGGGACATTATGCTAAGTGACATTAGGGTTTGCAGGGTGTGGGGATTGGGAATCGGTGTTTAACAGTTAGCACGCACAGAAAGAGAATACTAAGGTGAAGGACATGTGTCTAGTCCCTAGTCCTGGACTCCTGTGGACACTATCTCAGCCTGAGAGTCTCCATTTGTCTCTGACAGAAAGGAGTGGTGTGAGGGCTGGGAACTATCTCCGCACGTGTGAAGGAAGGGGCAGAGTGCGTTCCATTTCCACATGGTTGGACAACAGAGACCTAATTCTTGAGGTTTACAAACACTCTTTGTATTCTGCTCTGGTGTTTGTCTAGCTTTACCCAAAGGTCAGCCATTGTTATAATCAGACATGTATAATGTCAGGCATTGTTACAATCAGTATTGTGTCGGAGTCCGCCTAGAACCAGGACAATGCAGGACACTTTAACCTTAGTTTGACCCCTGTGAATGCCGCACTGATGAGGGTGGAAGGACCAGGTGGTATGGGTAAGGTGTCTTGCTCAATGGAAGCTTGAGTTTCTGGGAACCGGTAGAAGGAAAAACTCAAAGGTTCCCAGAAGCCAGCTCTACATTGTGAATGGGTTTCCAGGGGAGTTAAGGACTCAGTTAGAAGTGGAAGTATGCTTCATGGAGAAGTTGTTTCTAAGAGAGGAGGTGGCTGGGCCACATAGGTGGGACTGACCTCTCCTGACAGTGGGGAGGCCTTTTGATCTTTAGCCCTGGCCTGGGCTGTGGGTTGGAGAGTTGGCACCCTGGCTCCAGTCCCCTGGGCCGGTTCAGTAGGAAGGAGGGAGCTGGTTATATTGCTTGCTCTGTCTGGGTCTAGTCTATTTCCTCTGAGTTGTGCCTGTATTGATTGGGAAGGCCAGATTAGAGTCCAGGGCTAAGAAGAGAGCTTGGGGCCCTTCAAGGCCTCCTGGGGAATTCCTGGCTCTACACAAGTGTGAAGCTCTAAAGATATGATAAGGTTTTCAACTTTTCATGCTTGGAAAGTCCCCAAACTGTTACCTTCTCTATGAGAGGCTGGACTTGCAGAGCTACCAGGGGCTCTGGCTTCCAGTTCCCAAACAGCCCTTTCTAGGTGAACATTCCTGGGCAGGTGTGAACCCCTGGAAGAAAAAGGAAAAGGATGGCTGCCCCCCCCCCCCCACCGATCCCTGCTGCATCAGACAGTACTGGGGTGTGAAGGAGGGAGCTGTGCCTGGAAGGGGCACACAACAGAGAGAAGCTGGAGAGGTGAGTTGAGGACTGGTGGGGACCTGAGTTGACACTTCTCAAAAGAAGACAATTCGGTAGCAGGCAAATTTAGGCAAAGGTGTCCGACATCTCGAATCACTGGGGAAATGCAAATCAGAAGGACAACAAAGCTGGGTGTGAGGCATACCCCTGTGATTCTAGCACTTGGGAGGCTGACATGGGCAGATCATGAGTTCAAGGCTGACCTGGGCTATGTTATAAGTTCTAGGCTAGCTTGATGCAGATGCAGAGTGAGACCCTGTTTCAAACAACAAACAAA